CCCCCCCCCCCCGCAATCTTTAGAATAATCTTCCAGTTAAGGTACGCCAGGCTCCTTCCCTTCAATATTCAGGAAATTAGTGAAGACAGAATTATACAAACCTGCCTTCAATAACTACCCCCCAGAGGCTGTTAATACATTTTTTGTGGGTTACCCCCCTTTCTTGTGCTTTTTTTCTTTTTGTATTAATTTTAGTTCTACATTGGTACCGCCATATTGATAGTACCATTATATGGGTTTGCATGGGGTGCGGAGTTTCTAATGTGTTATATACATATTTCAGTTTTTAATTTGGTGTGTGCATGCACGTGCACCAGGCAACTCTCCTTAGCAAGAGAGTGGGAGAGAGTGTCACCCTGGAAAATCTCTCCTCCATTTCCTCCTCCATCTCTCCCCTGACGCCTTCCCTCCTACACACGCGGAGGCACTAAAAGAAGAGAGGCCACACTATATGAGAGGCCCTCTAGCTGGAAGCAGTTCACCCTGCAGTGGAAAAACTATGTCTGTTTCTTCTCACAGGAGTGTGCCTCAATCCACATTAATCAAATAAGCTTCTTTTTGACTGGGGTGATCGTCTTGCTTGGTTTATATGTCTGAGGTTGCAGTTACTAAAGACCAAAAGATTTGCATTGCCCAAGAAATAACATTTGCAAAATACCCTTTTGCTATGATCAGACTCTCAGGTGTTGATCTCAGTGTAAGAGTAAAAGCTGACACTATAGCAGCTGCTTTCTTTGGTGGGGCTTAAGCTCAACTCATGCCCTATAAAGTGTGAGTCCTTGAAACTGGAGAGGCCAGAAGAGGCAGTGTGGAGAAGGCGGACCACATTTCATTCTCAGTGACTGGTGGTATTTGTCTGCTAGCTGATCATCACAGTTTTTCTGTCTCCTTTCACAGGGCAGTGACAGCGAATATGAAGTTGACCAGAATCACCAGAAAGCGCATTCTTTTGTCAACCATTACATCAGTGACCCAACATATTACAATTCATGGAGGCGCCAACAGAAGGGCATTTCTCGGGCTCAAGCCTACAGCTATACAGAGAGTGACTCTGGTGACCCTGACCATTGCCCAATGTCCAACAGCACCAGCACCCAGCAGGGTAGTCTCTTCCGGCCCAAACCCAGTAGGACTCCAACCCCACAAACTCCAGTCAACCCTCCCAGCCAACAGAGCACCCTTTACCGACCTCCCAGTAGCCTTGCCCCTGGATCCAGAGCCCCTATTGCTGGCTTTTCTTCTTTTGTCTGACATTTCAAAAAGAAAGAAGAAAAAAGAGGAAAAAATGGCTGAGAAGATAAATTCGTGGATTTAATAATGGTGGTGATAATGATGATAATAATAACAATAATAATAATAATGAAGAACATTTTGGTCCAGAATTATTATTTTTCAGAGGCGATGAGAAGATCATGTGGGAGACAATCAGACATCACTGAGTTCGGAATCACTGACTGACTGACTGACTGCTGCTGCTTCTAGTATTGCCAGTGTTCTTCAAAATTACCTGTCTGTAGATGTACATCTGGAGCGAAGCAGGAGACAAGGCCTTCAGGCCTAGTGCTGAAGGAAGGAAGGCAACAGGGTAAAAAGATTGGGAGCCCCAAAGCTAAGAAATCACTGGGTGTTGCATACCACCATTCACCTTCCTAGCCAGAGGAAGAAGTGATGAAGTGACATATCTCAGAATTGTCTTTTGGGGTTTTAATTAGTTTTATTTTTCTCCTCCAACCAAAGCTTTCCTCGGAGGGGAATGGGTTAAAGCTCTGCAAGCTGGAAACATGAGCCAGTTGGACTGCTTGGTCAGGGTTCAGTACAGTACCTGCTAGCGTGATGTGCAACAAAGCCTGACCCTGCCCAATATGGGAGCATGCTTCAGGCAGCTAGCAACCGGCCAGTGTGAGAGGAAGACTCCCAAGACTCCCCCCTCCTGCAGTGCCACAGTGGCTGCTGGGCTGGAACGACACTCAAAGGAGTCCCAGTCCCTGAGGCTGCCTTGAAGGAACTGCAGACGTTTGGGCTGGGTGAACAACTGTCTCGGCCTCCTTTTTCGCTCTTTGACTCACAGCCAGAATATTTTCAGAAGTTAACCAAACTGAATGGTGCTGACTAAAGACAATGTGGTTTCTTTTTTTGTGTCCTTTGAGGTGAAAAGGGGAGAAAAGTACATTGGAGAATGGTTGGGAGGAAGCTGGCTCCTTGAAAGCAATCAGGAAGTTGTCCTTACACAGCCAGTATCACCTCAGTGGAAAGCAGCCTCCTGCATTTTTCTGGGAGAGAGAGCTAAGCACCTGCAGCCAAACCAAGCCACAAGGCAGAATCGGCCCCACATGGTTGGATAGTCTCTCAGCGCCCTGTTTTCTTCTCAGTTCCTTTTCCCCACATTCACTTCATTGGACAAGGAGAGAGGAAGGGAAAGGGGGAAGGCCCCAATCCAATTCAAGTGCAATTTGAGGGGGCATTCAGGGACAAGATAGAAACTTGATAACATAAATGCTGCAAAGCCTCTTGAAGGTACTGGCTTTAGATTGGATAACCTCAGGGGGCTGTATGGAAGCCTCACTGCAGTGTTTTCCCTCCTCCTCCTCCTCCTGGTAGCAAAACTAAACATCCTCTTCGTTTCTATAGAAAAGGAGAGCCTGTTCCCAACTCCTCTTTGATAGAGTTGTTGCTGTTGTTTTTTTTAGTTATTCAGAGCCCACAAACACTAGGGATAAGATAGTGGAAAGTGGGGCAGTGGCGAGATGAATGGAAAGTGGTAGTCTCTTTTGTTCTGTTTTTTAAAATTCTATTTTAGCACAAGGGTGTGGGGGACACTGGTGAGAAGTTACTTTTGTTTCATTTTGACTTAAAACAACACACACACACACAAACACACACACACACACTTTTTTGAGTGCCTACTGAGCCCCAAGATCTGTGGTGGCGATTTAAAGTGGAAAAAAATGGAGCAAAAAGCAGCCCCAGGAATAGAGTGGGGGAAGAGGGGAAAAAGAAAATATATGCTTGAGCCAGGACACCATCTTTCCTGGAAGTGTTAGGGATATAGCTTTGTCCATTATAACCCCCCTCACCTCACCCCATGCCTTTATTTGCACATTGTTTTCAAAGCCTGGTTTACAAAGAGTTGAATCAGGCACATAGGGTCCTTTTAATAAAGAATCAAAATGCAATTGGATCTGTTTCTTTCTCTTTTTGTTACATTTTGTTTATTGCTACAGTGAAGCAGTAATCATTATTCATTTTAATTTAAATGTAGTTTCTTAGCAGGACTGGTCCCAAGTCACTGGGGAGCAGCTGTCTATTCAAAGAACCAAACTGCAACATTGCTGATGGTGATTGGTAAAGCATCTTCAGAGGAGCATTTGATGCTTTGAAGATTGACAGTCTAACCTAATTCAAGAAGAAGCTCATGTAGAGAATCTTTCTATCCTTTAATACTGCTCGTGGTATCAAATTCCAGCATTCCTCAATTCATGTCCATCAGTCCTAAAGGTCTGTGCTTTTCCAGTCCTTGGGTGGAATAGGGAATACTGTATATCCTCATTTCAGTGTTTGTCATCTACCAGGATCATTGAGCTAGACTAAAGGATGCTTTGGGCCTACTTGTATACTTGCATACCGTTTTTCAGTACTGTATCTCTCATTTAAGATTACAGACATGATGATTAGAATGGAACACAAGTTCAGTACATATTAAGGATGTCCTGGGAACATGAAGCAGTAATTGGAAGAAGTTGAAACTGGCCTACTGAAGATAAAAGATGTTGACGGAGGTCAGATTGTAGATCCACACTATTCATTTCCTAAGGCAACAAGGGGGGAAAATCCATGTTCAATGATAGTAAACATAAGCTTTGCTTCTGGAGCCTGAAAGTATGTATGCACACCTATCCTGCCCATAATTAAAGGCTAAGAGGACTACTGGATATATTCAAAAAACAAAACCAAAGCAGTAATTGGAAGAAGTTGAAACTGGCCCACTGAAGATAAAAGATGTTGAAGGAGGTCAGATTGTAGATCCACACTGTTCATTTCCTAAGGCAACAAGGGGGGAAAATCCATGTTCAATGATAGTAAACATAAGCTTTGCTTCTGGAGCCTGAAAGTATGTATGCACACCTATCCTGCCCATAATTAAAGGCTAAGAGGACTACTGGATATATTCAAAAAACAAAACCAAGCCAGCTACAAGGAACCCATGGAATTTGAAATCACTCAATCGTATTGTGCATACACTGCTCTTCAGAAATATTGTCTTTTTTTAATGAGAGATGTAATATTGTTTATTGAGAGAGGTACGCTGTTTGTGCAGTTGATACAACAAGATCCAGAAGTACTAGTGCTTAAGGAAATACTTCTGCTTTCAGAACTTGGAAAATTGAAGGGCTTTACCAGACAATCAAGGAAACACTTGCCCAATCATATTTTATCCAAGTATTATGGATAGTTCTCTTACACAACACCCCGTTATAATCTGTTCTCTGAATATTTGCATCCTCTTACAGGAAAAACCAACTACTCCAACCCCCCAAAAAACCCTCACTGCAAGTATCACAGCAAAGGAACAAAATCAGAGCATGGTTATCAATTTTTAAAAAGCAATCAGTTTCGGTTCCAAGATGTCCATTGCTTTTTTAGTTACTTCCAATTATGCATTGGTTTGCATAAGTTGACTCATCTAGTGGTGACAGTTTTTGCTGCAAAATAGTCACAAAGTTACCTTCTCTTGGTTATTTGTAACTGATTCTTCCAAAGTGAGAAAACTTGGAGTGGCAAGGACACAGGTCATTTTGATCACCAACAAGGTAGTACTCTGCTTGCACATGTCATCAAAGGTGAATAGGCCTGGGCTATGAAGAAGCAAATCCCACACCTCTGACAACATACAAAATTACACCTGATAGCATTTGTAAAAGACGCAAAAGAAGAAGAGAAAATCTTCACTGTAACTCATGTAGAAGTGCATAACATGTCTATAAGGCAGCTAATATGACCTGCATTTTAAAAATTGCTTAAATGTCATCACTCATGCCAAGGTAGGAAGGGTGTGCATAAACTAATAGCATAAACCATCTTTCTCTGAACTGGTGCTTTCCAGATCTGTTGACTAGATTGGCACATTCTTCACCCATCCCTTTTATCCTTAACTCCAATATATGCCAGCACCTGAATTTTTCTTAGAGGCTAGTAAGACCCCACAACGCAGAATCACTGCTTCAAGTCCAAGATCTCTGCATATGCAAAACAAAGTGTAACTCTGTTTTTCTTTCTGGGAGATGAGGAGAAATAGATAATTATACATTTGTCTAATATAACCTTTTTCTTGTTCAACCCTTGCTTTCTGTAGGATAAGGAAATGTATTTTGTGTGTGATTGAGACATCAGAGTTCTATAAGGTAAATTTTTCACATTTCCTCCAATACTGTGAGTGGCTGGTATCCTGTTGCCTGCATATGGCGTGCAAGGGAAATCATGTGAGTCCTTCCCCAAATCCAGGCTCCTCGTTGCACAACAGTGCAAGGATGGGTTGGGTACATAACAGACATCCAATCTCTTTTGCTTCAGATTCAAGCAATAGGATGCAGAAGTCATTAATTTCCATAGAGTCCATTTAATTGTCAGAGATGACCTTCATGTGTGAGCCATCCCATAAACAGCCATTACCTGTGATATATTCTGTGTTGCCTCTGTGTCTTTCCTACATGGTCATTGAGGATAGGCAGTCTCCAAATTCTGGTTTGCACCTAACATCAGTGCACAAGAGCTTGGCCAATGGGGCAAAATTATGTGAGTTGCAGTCTAATTGCCCGGAGGGCAAAACATTTCCCTACTCCCCTCTTATGTGGTGCTCAATCTTTTGAGAAACACAAACCCTCCATATTTGAAATTAATTCAGAGAGTGGGAAATGGGATGGTAAGTCAGACAAAAATGTGAGAGAAAGACGCTAAAACTGTTTACTGTATATCAAAATGGGTGAAGAGAGTCCATCTCGGCTTAGGTTCCTCTTCTGCCTCATTCATGTTGGTTTAAAGTAGAGCAACCTTAATAAAACCAATTTCATGCATTATGGGCCATACTTCCATTCTAACACCAACCTCATTATTAACCCACCAGAGTTAGCAAGAAGTTATTGAGAAGGGAAAGTGTACAGCTGGCATCCTGCAGAGTGGGATTTAATTAACCATTGATGCAAAGATCAGGCACTGGCTTGGATCATGTGGCTGCTCACTTGTAAGAGATTAATTCAAAGCCAGGAAATAGGTAATAAAGGTTTCTCTTGAGCAGCGGCCTTGGAGACTGGTAATTTAATTGGTGGGTCTAAAACCCATTAAAAAGAGGACTATTAAAGCACAGTGGTGAACAGTCACTCTGTCCGTCCCAAAAAGCCTCCCATATGGCGTGAGGTGACAACTTGGTCAAAGGATGACTATTCAAAGTTTTAGAAAATTTTAACAGGGATCATAGGGTGGATAACAAAATAGCTCTTAAGTATGTCAGCTATGGTGCTAGATTTTAAATAAAAAACATACAGATAACTTCTATGTTGGGTCTAATAGTTCCAACCTCCTCCTTCTATTGCACCCACTTGGCTTCATTTATTTCATTCATTTATGAATTGTTCAAGCAGCTGATATAAAATATAACAAAGTTATAAAATAACAAATTAAAAGACAAATAAGAGATCAGTAAAAAAGTAATGGCATCAAATGAAAACCTATTTAATCAGCTTAGACACCAAAAAACTTGTCCCAATAAAAATATCTTTTGACATTAGCAGAATTATTTCTTTATTACCTTTTTTTTTTAAAAAAAAGTGTTTTGTCTGTATCCCTGCCATTAGAAACATATGGGTGCTGACAACCTCTGAGAACTTTGTTCTCTCTCCAGCGGTATGTCATGGAAGCAGGCAGCAAACACCATATTTAATCCTTATTAAATTCTTCATACTCTCCTGGAAGTGGCAGCCAGGAAAGGGAGCAGAAATGTCTATTAATTTTCACATTTTGCAAATTTTAAATTATTGACAAGTGGCTACAAGGGAGACAGAGACTGTTTGGTGACAATCCTTAGGGGTACCATAGAGTATGGAAGAAGGCAACTGCTATACAAAAAAAGAGGGATTGTCCTCGAGCCCAAGCGCTTCGCTGATGTTGAGACGAAGAAATTGTTATGATATAACAAATAAAAGCGATGGATTTTGGCAAAAAAATTATAAATGCAATTGAGACAATCTATAATGAACAAATAGCCAAAGTAATGGTAAATTGTGAATTGACAGAAAATATTAATATAAAAAAGGTACTAGACAGGGATTCCACTCTCCCCATTACTACTTATATTAACTTTGGAAGTATTAAACAGGAATGTGAGGAATTATCTAGAAATTAAAGGCACTAAAATAAAAGACAAAAATTAAAAATTATAAGCATTCGCAGATGATTTGGTGTTCATTTTGGAAGGTCTGATAGAAACTATTGAAACTACTGGGGAAAATTGATGAACTCGGAGAAGTAGCAGGATTGAAGATAAATACAGAAAAAACTAAAGTCCTAGTTAAAAATCTACCATCCAAACCAAACAGCCAACTTTCAGAGAGATCAGATCTACAAATAGCTAAGAAAGTTAAATACCTAGGAATATATCTAACTGCTAGATGTGTAACTATAAAAGAAGACAATTATATAAAACTATTTAATCAAATAAAAGTGGACCTAGAAAAATGGCAACATCTACAATTATCACTATTAGGAAGGATTGCAACAATTAAAATGAACATCCTACCAAAATTACTCTTCCTATTTCAAACAGTGCCAGTGAAAGTCGAGAATAAATATTTTGATGACCTAAACAAGACAATATTGAAATTTATCTGGCAAGGGAAGAAAGCCAGAATTAAATTGAAAATGTTGCAGGAATCCAAGAAAAAGGAGGATTTGGTTTACCAGATTGGGCTTTTCATTATCAATAATCTATTCTAATGTGGTTGAAA